TGCGGCCATGTGCCGCTGTCCTAGAAGTAACCTGGTTGTTGAAGATGCTAAAGCAGTGCTGGCTGGAACAGAGTCTGCCTGACTTTATGCTAATAGTACGACTCCTTAAGGTTGTGAGCTGGCAGCTTTCTTAAGTCTTCCTTTGCCTGGGGGGAAAGGAAGTTGCTGAACACTGTGCAGTTCCCCCAGCTGCTTAGTTGCCAGCATGCTCTGAAGGGAAAGCCATGCAAATGGATAAAGGTGCAGCGTTTGTAATAGAAAGCTCAGATGTGGGCTAGGGCATAATTTTGCCTGGTCTTTCTGGTTCTTCTTGTCAGTATTACCATATTGCCTGGGACACAGCGGTTCCACAGAAAGCACGTCAGCGCTAAAAGGGAAGCGTGCGTGGGAGAGCACGTTGTGTTGTAAAGGCCAGGCCGTGTCAGTGAAAGCCAAGAGTGCCGACGCTGAAAATAACTCCAGCCCTTCAACAGCAGTGAGCTGATGTTCCAGCAGAGGATTTTTGGCTGCCTGCACTTCATGAAATCACCCTTGGCAAGCAAAAAGAAGAACTGTAGTCAAACAAGGAAGTAGCTTGTAGCCTCAAGATAGGTGAGAAGAAGGAACACGGTGCCTCAAAGGACTAGAAAGAAGTCATGCTTCACAAATAGGTGGTTCAGTTGTTGGCTTTGCCATTAAAAATAGGTCAGACTACTAGTTCAGGGGAAAATTACCTCCTAAAGACTAAGAACTGACATGTGAAAGGAATAAGCATTCCTGTTTCTTTGCCTGTTTACTTCTAGTTGTGTCATGGTTGGTAAAGAGTAACCATAGGCAATTTCAGTTTGAAAAATCAGATCATCTATTATGCTCATGGCAAGCTGTCTTATTACTGCTGGGCAAAACATGTCTGTAAGAATTTCCTGCTTTTACTTTAGTCCATTCATCCTGGATTTACTCAGAATATCTCAGATATTCAGTCTTGGAGCCCTGCCTGGATGAGCAGACCAAGCTGGGGTTTTTTTCCGTCTAAAGTTCAACACTGCAGTTGAAGCCTTGTGACACTTGTTAATAAAATGGTTGTGTTCAGCTTGCTTACACAATTGGATGTGCACAAAGCATAGTAGTTTTTCACGAGTGCTAATTACTCTTCCATTGCAATTGATGGCTTTCCACAGCTGCAGGCCAACTGATCCAAAGGGAATTTTTTTTTTTTTTGCTGTCCTGTGATAACAGTGTACAGCAATCATTGTTTTGAGATGGAGAAAGCCCTTACGGTGTTCGAGATGGAGAAAGCCCTTAACGCTGTTAGCTGCTTTGGGCACTGCACAAATGTTGTTGCATCTGGAACTGGGGTGAGGTTGGGAAAGGTCTCTGCGGAGCCACATCTCTGTGCACCTCCCTTGTCCTGGAGTCTGCATGCAACTGGTAGGTGAGGGTGCTGAAACCAGGTGAGCCTCCTGAGCTCATCTCCTCCATCGGAAGTAGAGCTTTACTAGGAAGCTGGTAAAGCAATGTTAATTTTGTGGCCCAAATAACTAGAAGAGACTTTGCCCAAAACGTTGGTCATTCACAAGCCAAATATTCTTTAAGCGTGGGCTGGCTGCTGTTTGGCTAGCAATTTTGGCACAAATCCCAGCAGCTCATCTGCTGAGGACACTGTGGCTATGAGATCACGTGGACTCATGGGATGACTGAACAAGTATGTGGAAAAGAGATCTATTGATGGTTACTAAACTGAAAAATTACGTCAGTATCAGGAAATCCCAAGAGTTGAAAATAGCTGGGAGAATATATGGGCAGGGAAAAAGAGGGGAGTAATATATGTGTTTTTCCTGTTCTTACTCTTCTCAAAGCGTCTGCTTAGGGCCAGTGTTGGAAGTGCAATACTGGGCTAGGTGATACCCTGATTTCAGTTGGTGTGTCTGGTTTGTATGTGCATCACTGTCCTATGAACTAACTAGCTACGTAGATACGGCTCATTTTGAGGGCACTACAAACAGTGTTTTTACTGGTTGAATACATTGTGGTCTTCTTAGTTTAACTGTACAATTGAGTGAGTTCCTCTGCCCCTATTTTTATGTTTTCCAAAGATGTGACTTTCCTGTCTTAACAGCAAGGCTACCTGTGAGGTGACAACTCCAGCATAATGTGTTTTTGCCATACTCCTTACAGAAGACAGAATTGGAAAGCATGTGTTTTGCAAATGTGCTGCAAGAACTTTATTTAACAAAACCGCTTTATGTCAGTGTACCTGCAAATTCACTTATCTCTGAGGAGTTTGCTCTGACTTAGTTCACCGTGGTCTTTTGGGCATAAGAAGAAACTAGTTTTGTACTAACTGCTTCACCTTCCATCTAATATTCCCCAGCAGCAAGTCCTGAACTCAAGAGAACGCTTCCGCTGACTTTGGCAGGGTCGTTTAGATCTATATTAGGAACAAACAGGGGGTAAGGGCCTGTTTATTTGTACTGCAATTCCAGGTCCAAAAAAAAAAAAAAAAGTGCAAACTAATTCCGAACCTTTTCAGGCTGGCCCCTATTAAATGGGTGCTTAGAGAATTCTCCAGAATGTCAAACTTGCATGAAAAAAAATGCCTGAATAAAACAAGTGCTACGTAAAGAAAACTAGACTTCTGTACATGATCTGACAGCAAGACTTTTAGCTTGACTAAAAGCTGAGTAGACTGATTTGTTGACTTATCTCAACATCAGTGTTTCAGCCACAAGTATTTATGTCCCATGTCTCAGCTAAGGATAGCCGGCCAAGATCACTCATACAGCAATATCAATGTGCATGGATGGTGTTTCTCAGAAACAAATTAATCTTGCCCCAAACAGTTTGCTATTAAGCAATGAGATCCGTAGCTCTGCAAAACAGTTACTTCTGAGAGTAGCGTGGACTCAGGTTGTCAGCTCGCTCAAGAGCTGTAAGTGGGGTCGTTGATTTTTATGGGCTATCCAAAGGCTTCAGAAGACTTCTGCCTTATTCCAAAGAATTTTCAGGCTGCAGAACTGAGCTCAACTTGCCTTGCATTTTTCCCTTCCTGACTGAGGTTTGTTAGAGCTCCGCGCCTTCTCACCTTCACTCCGAGAGGTGTAGCTCTGGGAAGTCCGTGTAATCCTTAGGTGATTTAACTGCAGCCTGGAGCCATGTGTGGCCAGCTAGGCTGTGCCAGTGTGGGAAGAGTTACGGGGTAACAATTTTTATTTCCCCTATGGGAAGAACCAAACCAGCAGAGGCTGCTGCAGTCACATCCACTGTGACTGGACCCCTGTAAACTCCTCCTTGGCCCCCTCTTCCCCTTAGTCCTGGAACGATGTGGCATGCATACAGTGGCTCTTGGTCAGCTGCTCTCAGGATGTGAGGTGCAGGTCAAGGAAGCTGGCAGTCCCTGCATAGCCTGAGGCTGCACAGCAGCCAGGAACACTTAATCTGGAGAAGTGTGAAACGCTCCACTGATCTGATGCCAATTGTCATTTAACAGACACACAACTGGTTTCCTGTGGAT